AGCAGTCAGTCAGCGGGAGGACAGCACAGGCTGTGAATATAAAAGTGCCGCTATACACACTTCCTGGCCGCTGCAGCGACATCTAGTGGCCGGGGAGGATGTACAGCAGGGCTTTTCTATTCACAGCCACTGCTGTCCTCCTGCCTCCCATACAGTGAGAGCTCTGCAGGAGGCAGGCGTCTAAGCAGTGCTGGGGCTGAGAAGGCTGCATGGAGACAAAGCAGGCAAGCAGGGGCTGGGGAGGGCTTGTATTCTTATGAACGTGCTTCTATTTTTAGTCCCAAGTCCACCGCCTTACTAATTCTGGAGTCCATCGCTCCATTGGGGGTCACCACAACTTGGCAAATGTTACCAAGGTGTCCCGGCCCTAGAAAGGTTCAGAACCACTGCTCTAGGGGGCTAAAATAAAGAAAATATACTCACCTGATCCCCAGTCTTATGAGTCTCACCTCTCCCCTCTGGCAGTGGTATGTCCTTCAGCATCCTCACATCTAATGCAGCTGCATTAGACATGACGATGTCGTGGGTCTTTAGAATGCTGTTGCCCAGGGACAGGGCTAGCAGCCTGGAAGGAGCAAGGATCAGGCGAGTATATTATTTTCTTTATTTTAGCCCCTAGACCAAAGCAAGCAGTTAACCCTTGCAGTGGTAGCCCCACTGCAAGGGTTAATTTTTACATTTCTTGTAGCTCTTTGTTAAATCACTGACCTTAAACGAGCATTGAGATAAGGCATTCTGATGCTTATTTACAACATGCTTGGACCAACTCTCAAAAAGTACTGAAGCCAGACACAGATAAGCAACTAGCACTTTCAAAAAGAGCAGTCATAGCGGCCCCTGTATCTCTCATGACAGGTGTACCTAAAGCAAAACTGGTACACAGGGAATTAGTAGGAACACTGCTAACCTCCTCCATTGAAAATACGGGTATTCTGGCAGTCCTGCTGATCAAATGAACAATAACCTGAAACAAGTAAACAGATCCGGAGTTCTGACTACTTGCTGCATGCTTCGTTTAGGTCACCAACACAAACGGATGTTGAAGGCAGGCAACTGCCATTTTCCAAAACACAATGGCAGCCACCAAGTTTCCTTTGAAGTGTATTTCCACTTGCGCAGCCAAATTGGGATAACAACTATTTTGTATTTGTTACATGTTCCCATTCACAGTGCATTAGCTTTAAAACAAAAAAAACCTTCTTGCAGTTTACATAGCTTTTCCTTGGGTTAGGGGTTTTAAAGGTTAAAATGTCATTTCTTTTTCTCCGAAATGTTAGGAGGGGCTGTGAGGGGTCTAAGGTAGCTTGTCCGTTGCAGGTTACTGTAGCTCATCAGATAAACACAATCCTCAAATCTCAGCCCCGAGCTTTTCTATTGGGACAGGATCACTGTGAGGGCTCATGGGGGAAAACCTGGAATTAGCCATCTTGGCTGCTTAAACAAAACCTCTACAAGGTAAGACTTTTTCCCTTTTTTAAAAAAGTTATTTTTCATTACGCTTTGTGAACAGAAACACATAATGAACATTTAGAGGGGTTTTCCCAAATTTGACTGCAAAAATGGAAATACACTTTAACCCCTTCGTAACTGACAACGTACAGTGTACGTCGCCAGCATCGGGTCTGTTTAAACTTGTAGAGCCAACTGTCGGCTTTACAACAGAAGTGATTCTGGCGACACAGCTATTGAAGATCGATCTGCACTTCAATAGCTTATTTCCAGTGAAAAGGTGACACTGGGGGTCTTTTGGACCTCCAGCATCACCTTAAAGAGTACCTGTCACCACCATCTGCTATCACATGGGGGGCCCCCCCCCCATATGATAGCAGTCAAAGTAAAAAAAAAAAAAAGTTTAAATTAAAATGAAATAAAAGAAATTTAATATAACCAAAAAAATTTTAAAAGTCCCCCGCGAGCACACGCGTCGGGTGCACCTACGTATGAAAACGATGAACGCGCTACACATTATTATGAGAGCAATAATTCTAGGGCCAGTAATTTGGGGCATCTCTAAATTGATGACCTGTGGGGGCTTTTAAAGCGTCTATGGATTTTTTGGGGTACTGCAGTTTTTCACCGTTTCACGGACGCACACAATTTGTAACCTGGGCATGTTGGGTATCGTTTTACTTGTTGTAACCTCATCTTTTATATTTCATTAAAAAAGGGGTATTTTGTTGTGCTTTTGGGCTTTTAATAAAATTTTTCACTAAATGTTGGGGTTTAATAAGGAGTTGCGCTAATATTGCGCAACATAAACATTTCCAACTACCACCATTTTATTCTATAGGGTCTTGGCATTCAGAAAATATGTTTGGGGGTTTTAAGTCATTTTCAGGCCTAAAATGTGGAATATAACATGGGTGCAAAAAATAAAAAAAAGGCCTGTCATGAAGGGGTTAAGAAACATTTACTAGAGTTTGATGCTTCATATAGAGCTGGGAGGATCATTATCAGCTGAACTCTGGTAGTTCAACTGCTTGATCTCAAAATGCTTCTAGCTTTAGAAGTGTGCAGTGTATGAGAATAGGGTGTTGTAGGGTGACAAATGTGAAACTGAAGGTGATTTCTCCTTCCATAATTAGACTGAATATCCACTCATGTAAGCACAACCATAACTGGTTCAGGGGTGTGGAATTCCTATCGCCCGACGCCCGGGACATGCAGTTTCGGGCGCCGGGCGAGTAGTTTTTTTGTACACTTAGCCCCGCTCCGGACAAGCAGAGCCAAGTGTACAGTGTGGAGCCGCCGCTCGTTTTCAAGTGATCTGATCACTTGTATGAAACGAGAGGCGGCGATTCTGTCCACACTGCCCCCCGTGGTTTTCGGGGTCCCCGCTCCTCTAGCGGACCCGAAACCACGGAACATGAGCTCACCATAGAGCAGACGAAAAACGGAGGTTTTTCGTCTGCTCTGTGTTATCACTGAGACAGGGTGCGCTGTGATCACAGCGCCACCTGTCTCAGCTGTCAGGAACTACACACAACATCAGTTCTGTGTTGGAGGGCAGGTTCCATAAAAAGAACCTGTCACCTCCAAACTATCACTTAGAGGATTTTAAATCCCTATGTGATAGAAATAAAATTAGGTGGGGGGGAAATATAATAAAAATGTAAAAAAGTTATGAAAAAGTACAAAATAAAATTAAAAAAAAAGTGACAATATAAAAAAAAAAAAAACCCCGCTGCCCCCGCCATCTGCATGCAAATAAACGCACGCATAGGACATTGTGTGTGTGCGTTGAGTGCTGCCGCCATTTCACTGTGCCGTATTGTGGTAGCGAGGCAGCAGAACTCTCCCACACGCACAATGTGCATTAAAGGGCAAGTTCACTTTCCCAGGTAATATGGGAAAATGGAATTACCCGATCAAATCTGGCCCCCGTCTCTCCCAAAACCCCCCACCCCCCGGCTATACTTACCTTTCGGCAAACAGTCCTTACCCTCCGCCGGTACAGGTGTACTGTCCTTACCCCGTACTGTCCAGCGCAGTCCTGCCCTATGCATTTTGAATTTCGCTCGCAAATTGCAAGCACTCATTGGTCAGCGTGGTCTGAGGACCACGCTGACCACTGAGAAGCGCTATTTAGCACAGACCAATACAGTTTTGATTAGGGATGCACAGATACAGAGTATTTGGGCAAGTACTTGTACTCGCCCAAATGCTCGATATCTTCTCCAATACCTGAACTTCTGGTCAGAGGAAGACTTCCTCTGACCGGCAGTGCCGGAGGGGAACATGGAGCCAGCTTCCCGTGCAATCAGGAAGCGGGTCAGCGACTAATGACCCGTCTCCCAATTGGCCAGGAAGCTGGCTCGATGCTGATTGGCCGGGAAACCGGCTTCCAAGCCATTCACAATCAAGCCGGCCAAGCATGGAGTCGGCTTCCCTGGCAGTCAGGAAGCCGGGTAGCATCTCATTACCCGCTGGCCTGATTGCCGGGAAGCCTGCTCATGCAAACGGAAGCACAGATACTCGGTGAGCACCGAAAGCAAAATATCGGTACTCTATACCCAAAAACCGGTATTGGTGCATCCCTAGTTTTAATTAAAACTATTTTTTTTGTATTGGGACAAGTAGATTGTTATGAAGGACAAGTAGATTCGGCCCCCGCTTTAGCCCTTGGACAAGTAGTTTTTCAAAAATTTCCACACCCCTGTGGTTGCTGCTGTAGTATTGGTTCTGTCTGACTGCTGCACTCTACTCTACACTACTGCTAGTCTGCCAGACAGGTCTGTCTAATTGATGCACTCTGCAGAATGAGAACCATGTGACACATAAAATAAGTGGTATCCCACTATGGCTGCAAAAGTGCAAATACACTTTAAATGTTACTGATTTACATGAAAATGTAGCATTCGTTTCAGGCCATTTTATAGTTCCATCAATGTACCCCCACACATTTCTTTCCTGTTGTCTCAACCGCTCCAAGTAGACTTCTCTACTCCCAATCCAGGGCCAGCCAGGTGGTTGAGGCAAGGGAGATTTTTCTATATGACTACACAAACTGGTCTCAAATCACTATACAAAAAAAAAAAAAATGCCATTTTAACGTTTACATTTCTTTTCTGCCTGTTACAGATATAAACACTGAAGTCAGATTTATTCACCAAACCACAGCAAACTATGAAAGTATTTGCATTTCAGTTTTTTTTCTCAGATCAGCCAAATCTGGTTCACATCTGTAGCAGTATGTGGGCTGGCTGTGATGTAAAAATATAACATGTTGTGGAAATATGAAACCATTCAGCAATCAATCAATCCTAAAAACTGTGCAAAGTCTAAAAGTAACTTGTAAAATGACTTTTTCTTTGTTGTTAGAAATACAAAAATAATGACAGTACTTTATTAACATGACAAGACATTTAACCGTTAACTGCAGAACATTACAGCTGAAAAAAAACAAAAAACCTATTACCAATATGCTGAAAATATACAATACAAATTAGTTTTAATAATCTTTTACTTTCATGAGCAAGAAAAAGGAAAAATCATGTACACATTTAAAAAGTAGATAGTAGGGAAATAGGAAATGGGGAACAAAAAAAAAAAAGAAAAATCATTTTCCGCACCTACGTAGCCATAATGTGTCTCTAAAATGAGACAAGCCCATAAAACTCATTGAATTTTAAAAAAAATATTATAATGCTCTGTGATCTATCAGCGTTTACGACGAACGGGTGTTGATGATCTGCAAAACAAAAATAAAAGGCCAGTATTAGTGTGATCTAGAGCAGTAATAAGTACCTTTTGGAAACAAAGTTAACGTTAATAATAGTAACGGACAGTGTCATAATCATCATACAATTACAAATGATAAATAAAAAAATATTAGGTAAGAGAAAGAAAAAGTGTACTACCTTGATCGGGTCTTAGACTTGTGTTTGCGGCTTGCCTTCTTACCAGACCTTTGAGATTTCTCCAAAGACCGTGACCGGCTACGTTTGCCTTTCTTAGATTTTTTATCCTTGTATACAGGCGATTCTGAACTGCTTCTTCCACTAGATGATGTTCGCTTCTTCTGCTCCTTTGTAGAATTTTTTTTGCTCTCATGCCTGGAGTCCTGCCGAGACATCTTGGAGGAAGATGACTCGCTACGGGAGAACGTTCTTTCACCCTCTCTCCTACTTTTAATTCTATCATCTTCCTGAACATACTTATATTTTTCATCTTTCTTTAATTTCTCCTTTTTTCTTTCTTTTTCAGATTCTCTTCTCTTCCTGTCCATTTCAATACTCCTACTCCTTCCCTTCTCTCTTTCCCTGCTACTGCCCCTATGCTTGTGTCCGCTTCTACTAGAGCTTCTGCGATGATCGTCACTTTTACGTCTATCCCTGCTTCTGCTACGAACAGCGTGCCCATCTCTGGAGCGGTTCACCCTTCTTTCTCTGCTGTGACTAAGCTCCCTTCGCCATTCTCGATCCATGCTATTTTTGCTAGATCTCCTCCGCTCACTAATTTTCTCCCTGCTTCTACTTCTGTCTCTACGATTTTTACGTGCAACACTCCTACTCCTGCTACGTCTTACTTTGCGTGATGGGGATGGGCTATGACTACGTCTCTTTTTCCTCTTGGGTAAAGAGGGAGATGAACTATGGCTGCTTGAAGAGCTGGTGCTGTAGTCACTGCTGCTACTACTGCTACTTCGCCCTTTGCTGCTACTACTACTGCTGCTACTGCTACTACTCGAGCTCCTTGATTTTCTAGCAGGAGGCCTTTCCTTTGCTTCCTTTTTAGGCTCAAGCATAGGTAAAGCCTCAGACTTTTTCTTTTCACTTTCTATCTCGCTTTCTACTTTTCTTTTCTCATTTATTTCTAGGTTATCTGTAATATCTGCATTGGGCTTGTCTACGTCATTATTTTCAATATCATTATTGTTGTTGTCATTGTCGTCACCATCTTGTTTCTCATCTGAAATTAGGGTGAAAAAAAAAAAATCTGTCAACCTTCGGTAACCATCAAAACAAATATTTGTTAATTACTAAATGCAAGCAGAGGAAAGGGTTATTAAAGGCCAACTCCAGCCGAAACCGTTTTCCACATTTTGGATAGACTTGTGAAGAAGAATGAAAACTCCTGTTAAATTTGTATTCCTTTCTGCACTCCCTTCTGTCCACCTACGATAGGAAATGAAGAGTGGATGTCACTAGGTGTGTGAGCTCCTTCAAACAAAGAAGTGCATGAGCACTTTCACCCAATCAGCTGCGTGAGGGGCATTCCCTGCCTCACAGCTGCATGTAAACAAAGGGGCAGGGGATGCTTGTGATGAAATCATATACCTTATATAGCACAGGTCCGAACCTGAGCCCATTCCTAGTTGTAACCAGGACAAGAAGACACAGAGTCATAGTAACCTGTGAGGTTTTAATCCTTTCCAGTTGTGATAAAACAGTGTTTAGTTGCAGTCTGTGCCCCACTGGAGAGTTCCATCACATCCTGTCCCAGTGGAAACGTTTCCAATTGGGGCAGAAGTTGCAAATAGAAACAGAGCTTAGACTGCAGGGGGGAGAAGCAACACAAGTAGCCAATCAACTATGGTACAGTGCAAAATGTATATAGGAGGAGAGAGCAAAGAGATGAGCTTATCGATGTGCTGCTCCTTCCTTTCACTGTGCTGTGCTGTTGCAGGCTAAGAAGTAGATCTGGTAGCGTTACTACAGTATTGTGCAGCAGGGTAAATGATAGTTTTGTCAAGAAAACAGAGATGCAGTACTACCCCCTTAAAAGGAAACATGCCCTGCCATAAGAGGGTCGGTGTCATCACTACTGAAGTGCCAATATCTGTATGAAACCTCAAACCAATCCCTGTGAAAACCCTTGGATCCAGGGCCCTGACACTCCTGATAGTAAACACCTCCCTCTATCATTAACTGTCCAATGCCAATACCTCTGCTGCCTCCAGGCAAGTAATTTATACATCTGTACTTATCCCTAATTCACAAAAAAAGTCTAAGAAAGAAAAAAAGGTTACCTTCTTGTTGTCTTTCAAGTAACTGTTGCTCTTTTTCCTTTCGTTTAAAGGCTTCCAGCTTCTGACGTATCCTATGGCGGAGTTCTTCTTCATCAGTATCGGATGATTCTGAACCTCTATCACTCCTCTCATCTTCACTTTCTGCAGATCCATAACCACCCAGTCCACCTGCATGCATAAAGCCCAGTCCATCAAGCAGCAATGAGAGATTTCTCAACCTACTGCCTTTTTTTTTTCTTAGGTACACAGCATGCTGGTACTGATATAGTTAGTACATGCAAAGGAGGAATTTCCCATTCCTGTGGGTCAGTTTTGCAAATAAAATGCAAGGATTTATTTTCTATACACATACTTATTAGGAGCACATAAAGGCTCCTTAGCTGCAAACTACAGAAAATCAGGGTGGCTCAGACAATTTGTACTCTGTGATTAAACAGGAATAGTAGGGCAGTAAACTAAACCCCCACACAGTTTCTCATTTCCATTTCTCATTTGCAAGTTTAAACCCGATTATGTAAGCTAAAATGCCTAAACTTCAAGGAGGGGGAGTGTCCAGTGAGAAAGATCCAATTTCTGAATTTTTTATGTTTATTTTTTACTACCGAGTGTCTGCAGGGCATGTTCAAGCATTAAATGATTGAAAACCTAAAAATACCCCATATTATGACCCCATGAGCTACTGGACTTTTTTCCCCCCTAAAATACATTTTAAAGCCTGTTTTACATTTAACATGAACCACTTTAAAAATGGCGAAAACATTTAAAGTGACACTAAACTCAGGAGTTAAATCTTAAAAATGCATTCAAGTACCCTAACTATTAACTAACACTTGGGTATTTGTGTATCACTCAGCTGTGGATCCTCCATCCATCTCTGAAATAGTGCTCACACTGTCCTTCCTTCTGGAGGGTGGCTTCTTTTCTTCCCCATGGTCCCTGTGTGTTGTAAAGTAGCCACTGCTCCAAGTGATGGACTACAATCTCATGTTTAGTTTACTAATTTGTATGAGATTGTAGCCTATCACGGGAGTGAGCTTGGAGCAGTGGCTACTTTACAACACACACAGGGACCATGGGGAACAAAAGTAGACACCCTCCAGATAGGACAGTGTCAGCATGTATTCAGAGATGATTTGAGGATCTACAGCCGAGTGATACACAAATAAGATACATTTTTGTTAATAGTTAGGGGACTTGAATGCATTTTTAAGATTTAACTTCTGAGTTTAGTGTCACTTTAAGGTTTCAGCCATGTAAGTTTACCAATTTTTTATCCTTTTTTTTTTTTTTTTAAAACAGATATCTACTATACCAGGAGGGTCATTTCACGCAAGATGTACCATTTATAAAAGCAGCTTTAACCACATACATTGGACTTCACAATATCCATAGAAAAGAATAAGGGTGCCCAAACTCCTAGGACACGGAGCTATTTTAAGCCCTGTTCTGGTGAAGAGGGGCATATACCACAAGAACAGGAGGAGAGGTGCCAGTCTGTTTTTTGTTACCTAGTGTCCATTCTCCCAGAGGCAAGGCAGTAGGACTTGGCTAAACAAATTTGTTGTACTGCATTGAGAAAAGTCCTAAGTGCTTTATTTTTTCATTTAAACTGGCATTAAAACGCAGCACAAGTCTTTTAAAACACTCCTCATTGCAACATGTGTTAATGCATGCGTTTTGGTACGAACGCAGCCTAAAAGACTTTTTGTTTTCAATGAATGAGTAGGTCAGATGGTATAGGACAATTAAAAGGAAATGGAAGGAATCAGTGGAGTGTAACTATCAGTTAAAATTCCAGGTGCATGAACTTTTAGGTCCTGTTACCACAGATCTCTGACTGTACCTATGTGTGGGACAGTCTACAGTCTCCAAAATCAAAGCAGAGAAAAAAAACGGATGACAGGACCAGAAAGCACCACCTTTGGCTTAGAGTCGATGAAAAGATGGTCAAATATATTAACAAAAGAACTCAATTCCTCACGCCTACCTCTACTAAACTTTATTTAATAACCCAAACAAGCTCATGAGAAGACACAAGTATACCATTAAAGTGGCATTTAGCTGAGAGGTCAATTAAAAGATCAAATATAGTTTCCATATAGAGAAATATTTTCTTTACAATTTTTATTTTTTGCTTTACAGCAAGATAGGTTGAATAGGCATAACACATACAATAGACACACAGTCAAATGTAATGCAATCGATGTACGGGCACACTGTATAAAGTCCAAAATGCTGAAAAATGAATACTTGGCACAGAAAGCATTAAACTACAAAGCCAGAGCTAATAAAGATTATTATTTTACAGATATTATCTTATCTGTAAAAGACAACTGTAGCTGTGTCCTAAAATTTAGTAATCCTGACCAAAAGCATAAAATAAGTCTAACAGGTACATTGTACCAATCTGTACCATACATCTATATCCCCCAGCTTAATGCACAGTCTGCACATTCTTATCTACATAAAACGCAATTGCAGCAAGTCAGAAGACAATATGTCCACCCAGCACATGCGCTGAAACAATGACGAGTACTACCATTATCTTGTATGACCAGTCAACATCTGCCTCGCTTTATAGAGAAGGCAGCGCTGAAGGGATAAGGCCACAAACAGAAGCTGTTTTAGCTTCATCTAAGGTGCTTCTGCATTTATGGATGACAGGCTTGCAGAGGGGGCATTAGTAGATTTTAGAGCAACGTTTTACTCACATTTGTACCATCAAAATGCAGATTCTAAACAGCATTAAAATAGGACATTGTTTATACTACTAAAACATATCCAGTACATTGCACTAAACAAAATGTAACACTTATTTAGAATTTTCCGACTGCACTTGTGAACGGGTACAGTCAGCCAGCAGATGTTTGTGTGGCAGTCTAGACAAAATTGAATCCACCAGTAAAATAAATGTGAGGTAAACTGTCTTTGACTCGCATTTCATGGCAGAAAGTGGACATGCTTTCATAAAAATCATGCACATGTTACAGAAACTGTCTTATCCCACAAAATCCCACCCATCCAGTAATTGTGGAACACACTTACCAAGTCCAGTAAGGGAAGCCAGTGCACTGGACTGTGCCAGCTGCCTTGCAGGAGCTTTGTATCACAGCAACAACAGGAACAACATGTTAAACACACATAGTCACGACCTCAAAGTCATGAGCTTCTATGCAAAATTTATTACTATTGCTGCTATTTGGGGGGAGAGAAGAAAGGTTAAAACACAAAATCCATAAAATAGTACAAGCAGAATTTATTTCACACTCCTAAGCGGACTATTAGAAGTTGTGTTGTGGTAAAAACAAGGAATTGAGGGGTTTGTGACTATTCTTAAAAAGGATAAGAAATGTGTCAGATAGTGGAAAACTTCCTTATAGAAAATAGCTAAGGTAACAACCTGCAATACGTTATTATATGGTTCTGTATGAATTGATGTAGAAGTAATGTACTAAAACTACTAAAAATGCAATATGGGCAAAACAAGTCTTTCTGGCCAACTTCTGGTTCTATGAAACTTGCCTAAATGGAACAATGGTTTTACAGGGAGAATATTCTCCACCAACACAAACTAATCATAAATAAAAAGGCCATGCATTCAAAATAAAAAGGCTACCTTTAGTTGCTTTACGATGAGTCTCTTTAGCCACAGTATAAATTTCTTCATTTGTGACATCCAAAAGAATTTCTGTTAGCATCGTTTTTGTCAAAATCATCTAGATGGTAAAAACAAAATGGTCTAAGTAGGTGTCATTTAAGGTAACTAAGAAAGAAAAAATAGTCTTGTGCAAGCCTCACCCATCCAGGACAATTTTATATCAATGTCATACTAGTGGACCTGCATCAAATATGTTCTTAACTTCTGTGGTGCAGACATATGAACAAAACACGTACCATTTGATAAGCCCTCTCCTCTTCAGTTAATTCTGACTCACTGTTCTCTTCCTGCGGAGCTGGGGAAGGACTGCGGCTAACTTTCAAACTAACTCTGTCCTCTTCGTTCTCATCATCTTCCTCTTCTTCATCATCAGTGTCCTACAAAAGAAATATAAAAAGCTGGGTCATTTATATGCAAAAATCTTCTTACTATAAATTCCCTTTATTCTATAGACAGATTTCAGCTGCATGCCACTGTACACAGAGATATGTTATGTCCCACATACAGACCATATCTGTTAAACCTACTATTAGGGCTCAAAGGCTAGGCATTTCATATACAGTCATGGACAAAAATATTGGCACCCCTACATTTTTTTGTATTGGAATGACACAGAAAAGTGGAGAAAAAGAAAGTCAAATCTGACATATTCCACGCAAAACACCAAAAATGGACTGGACAAAATTATTGGCACCCTCAATTAACATTTGGTAGCACAGCCCTTGGAAAAAATAAATGAACTCTTTCGCCAACTGCTCCAGGTCTCTAAGATTAGAAGGGCTCCTTTCCCCAACTGCTGTTTGGAGATCTCTCCACAGGTGCTCTATGGGATTCAGATCTAGACTAATTGCTGGCCAGTTCAATACTCCCCAGCGCTTTGTCTGAAACCATATCTGGTTTTTTTGACGTGTGCTTTGGGTCATTGTCCTGCTGTAAGACTCGTGACCTCTGACGGAGACACAACTTTCTGAAACTGGGCCCTACATTGCACCCCAGAATTCTTTGGTAGTCTTCAGATTTCATAATGCCATGCACACAGTCAAGACATCCAGTGCCTGAAGCAACCCTAAAACATCAGTGAACCTCCACCTTGTTTGACTGTAGGGACTGAATTGTTTTCATTCCTTTTTTTGAAAACCATCGAATGATGGACTTAACCAAAAAGCTGTCATTTTGTTTTGTCAAAAAGCTGTTAATTTTATGTCATACCAATACAAAACAAAGAAACATGAGAATGCCTAAACATATGTAATTGCAACAATGTTCTGCGCAAAGTGGTGCATTATCTGACAGAAATGCAGGGGTGCCGATATTTATGGCCATGACTGTAGGTTTACTGTACAGTCTATATCTGACAATATATGAAGAGCCATAGTGATTTGCACACCTCTGTCTTTAGTCTTGGCGTCTCCTACCTGCAGGTATCTGCATTTTGATACTTACAAATTTGCTTTTCAAAGGCAAACGAGGACCATCACCCTGCTCAGCATTTTTACTCTTCTGTTCTTGCTTCATCTGAGCACGCTGCTGCTCCATTCGCTCACGTTCCAGCTTCTTCTGCTTTTCCCTTTCCATTTTCTCTAAACCTTCACGAATCCATGCAGGCAAGGTCCTGCGTTTGACAGCATCTATAATGAGAGAAATAAGCTTTACATCAAGGCTAGTCTTCATTATTAAAAGGTCACCAACACTGCAATTCAGAATGCCACACAAAAGGCACCATTAATACATTCATACATTGACATAAAAATTAGGAATAAATATGGCTGCTCTGTTTGCAGTTCCTCTGTAAAAGAACCAGTGAACATTGATATCGTTCACATGAAGAGGTTCCGAGGAAAAGCACAGGATGTGCACAACAGCAGATGTGTAGGATATTTTCTGGGCTCTTCCTTAAAGTGGGGGCATCCTGAAACAACTGTATTTGTAGAAATCTTAAACATCTGTCTAAAAAGCAACCAGTGTTGGAATTCAATTTCTTTCCAACAACATAATGGAATTAAACTCCAAACACTAACAGAAATAATATGTATAATTTGTAATTAGTATTTTTCCCCCCCTACAATTAACCCATACCGTCACTGTTTGTCTTTTGGACGTGGAACAAGCATGCAGCCAGTGAAGCCGGAACCTTCATCAAGGAAAAAAGCAGAAGTCCAAGAGCCTGAATCTTTCTATCCTTATGGTTACTCTTTTGCAGGATTTCATTATCTAACGTATTATTCTGTTTAATTATTGGAGTGCTATGGATTTATTGTACAACATTATGGATTACAAACCATACATTGTTTGTGTTGAGTATATTGTTAGAAACAAATGCAATCCACCAAAAAAATGTAATATATTACAGTGTACTAGTTCTTAGATGTATGTTTTCATTTTTTTCCAACTGAAAATCCTGCCAGTAAGGGCTCAGGTGTTTTCCTATGCTTAAAGCACCAACGCAAGTCAGCAAACTGCCATTGACTTGGAGGAATTACACATGACAATTCAGAGGCTGCGTTTGATCTAGCTTGCGTTGCATTGCATTTCCCTGAAAGGAGCATGCCCCATTGAGGTGCATTTGACATGCTTTGCCTACAGTTCAAACATAGCCTTATCTTGCCAAATGATATATTTACTTATATCTGTTTGGTGCAAAAAAGAAAATGGCTGTTGATTCCTGGCAAAACTCCAGTGTTGTCTTGTGCTCTCTGCAGTGTTATCTCAATCAGTGTCACCAGCCCAAACCAATTGACTTCTGTGAAGTATGTAGGAGGGGAGGGGGGATGTTCTGTTGTCCTAGCACTCTTCCTGTCACAAGATGACAGAGTATAGAGTACAGTAAGTGGGCATTACCAGCCTAGAACAGGAATGATAGCAAATGCCACCATTTCCATTAGAACAAAGCTGCATGCATTGGAGTGGAATTACTTTCAATTTAACCAACTAAAAAAAGGCAAAAGAGAAGGTAATTGTTAGAGTTTACACACACTTTAAAATCACAAAAGTGAAAGGACTGCGATCAACGCAGTTATTGTTAAAATCAAGTCAGCAATGCCAGCTCTCAACTCTTTTTTCACAAGCACAAAACTTTTTATTTTAAAATTTTGGATAAGGAAGGATTACAACCTGTCAGTTTTCTTTTTGCCGTCTGTGCACTATTGGAGAATTGTTCCCTTAACTTATAGTCCCATAGACACAACCGGAAGCTATAGGAAGTCTCCCAAAGTGAAAGGAATTCCGCTCCTAGACCGTTGTCCCTGGATCAGGTGACCTCCATTGGAAGATTTCCCCTCACCTCTTGTTTTGGAGACTTTAAAATTCAGGAATTCCCCTCATTTTCATGGCCACAATGGTCACCAGTACAAATGGTGGGATCAATCTTTCTAAAAGGGTGGGGGGGGGGGGGGCAACCGGGATATGCCTGGGGGCAGATCCAAACGGATATGCCTAGGGTCAGGGGGTACCATGGACAGTGCACAAGGTATCACCATCCAGTGCATGTTCAGAAAGTATCCTCGGAACCTAAAATCCCTGATCTGGACATAGAAAACTCCAAAAACAGCACGCAGGTACACACACACACACTTGTGGGAACCTTGCTCCTGACACCTCCAGTCAGTACACTTTGCTCTCCAGCAGACTGGCACACAAGCTTTTGTAGACCACATACATTCCTCTCATAAGCAGTTTCAGGTTCGCCAAACCAAGAGGTATCATTTAGAGTTAATACAAACACCCACTCACAGTTTGTTCAGTTTTTGCATTCTTTACAGCAATAAACCCCCAGCATATTCATTTTATATTTAATATGCCTAAGCAGGCAGTGCACAGAAAGCAACAGACTGTTTACATGTGCAAAGCCGACTGTCGTCTTTACACTGGAAGCAATTCTGGTGGCTGAGCTGCCGCCAGATCGCTTCCAGGGGCCGGTGTAGCTTGAAAGCCCCTCATATGATAGCAATTAAGTAAAAAGATTGAAAAAAAAAAATAGAAATGTAGAAATACGCCCCCCACGTATGAAAATTACGATTGCGCTACACGTTGGTTATTATTGCGTGTGCCAGAGTGAGAGCAATAATCCTAGGGACAATATTCACAGATGTCTCTAAACTGATAACCTGTACAGGCTTGTAAAGCGTCACCTATGGACAATTTGGGGTACAATAATTCGTCACCGTTTCACGGACGCACACAATTTTAAACATGGGCATGTTGTGTAACTATTTATTCTCTGTAACCTCATTTTTTTTATATTTTACACAAATTTGATAAAGACTTGGGCTAATACTGTGCAACGTAAAAATTTGCAACTGCCATAATTTTATACTACAGGGTCTTTGCATTCAGATTATGTTTTGAAGTAATTTTCAGGCCTAAAATGTGGATTATAACATGTGAAAAACATGTAAAAAAAATATTAAAAAATCTAGGCAGCGAAAGGGATAATTGCTCCACCAGTGGGTTCCCCCTGATAGACCGACCATTGCATGAGCAGTCCCGGCTCCTCATGAACAAGCACTCGGCTAGAACTGTTTGCCTAACCCACATGTGTAGTCTATTTTCGCTCAATAGCAGAACAGCGAGCTAAACCACTGCTGCAAAAGGAAGCGGGCGAGCGCTCATTCATGAGGAGCTTTCATTTTTTGAAACGTAAATTATTGTTTTTTTTTACTTAAAGCCCTATCAACATAATATAGTGCAGGTGACAGGTTCTCTTTAGGAGACATAAGGTATCTAGTAGACACCCCTGCACTCTGCTGAAGTCTGTCGAGCAGGCACTGCTGTTTTAGAGTTTGACAGCTCTAAAACCCAAGATTTCACATGACGTGGACACCCCCATGCATGATTAGGGCACCCTAGAGGGACAGGTAAGCCTAGACACATGGTGGGGGTCAACTTCCCCTCTGGAAGTAATAAGGGGACATTACAGCGAATCACCAAGTAACAAAGCTAGCATCTCAGTGAAAAATTTAAACAAACACTTGACTGATATAGCAGGCACCAGTTTCTTTACATGATGGTACTGCTAACAACACAATAGCAAAAAGGAATATGCTTATTGCCATAGTTGCTGGTAACTGACTCCATACAGTTACCATTTTAGTGGTCCATTTAACTTACCAATTTGCAGAGGCTCTTGTTTGGGTGGTACTGGCACAGGTGAGCGTTGTCTCTCTCTAAAGGAAGGTCTTTCCCTTCTATTTGGTGGTGGAGCAGGTGGACCCGGAGGACCAGGAGGGCCTTGCTGCCAGTATGGTGGATGAAACCCACCTTGAGGAGGACCATATCCACTGGAACCATGCTATGACAAAAAAACAGAAATATAAGATTTTGCAGCAAACCTATTGCAATTTCCTCTGCTTACAAAGTGACAACAGCATAATACAATAGAATACTTGTAAATAGAATATTTTTTTGCTCACTTGGTAATCAAATTGATTTCCTGGCCCTATTGCAAAGCTTTCAGGTGGTCCTCCAAAGTTATGATTGTTCTGGTTAAATATGTGTCTATCATTGGTAAAATCTCCACTGTCTTGACTATTGCTGTCTTCAGATGGAGGGACGATATCCATAGGTCCAGGGACAGGAGGTATCCATGGCTGTTCTGGAGGAGGAGGATGGTGTGGAGGTGGTTGATGATGCATTCCTCCCCACTCTGTAGGTATTACACAGAATAAGAGCATAAGGTATACATCAAGCCAAAAAGCAAGAGAAGGTAACCCATGGGGTAACAAGACAAGTTTAGATACAAATAAACCAACTTTACATTGAACCTGTGATGCCTTTAAACAGTCCCAAATAACACAGCTGTAGCACAGGTACCGTGCAGCACAAGTGCACATTTATCTTCAAATAAATCTGTGTACTTGTGGAGCCCCTAGATTTCATGCTCATGCTGTACGCAGGGCCTTCAATTGTGCCCAAATTGCTATTAGGCCCCCAACAGCCCAATACTAGTACCAGTGGCTAAAAGAGACCCAGGTATTTTGACAGCTGAAGGAGTGGAGTTTTCTATTGATTTGGGTAAAAGCGAAGACCATGTATAAAGCCTACGCCTAGCGTTCAGAAGAACACAAACTCCGTTTAAGATTCAAGGTTACGTGACACCATAATTAGAAGAAAAACACATGCAGTACATGTTCCATGTGTTATTCATTTAATGACCCTGCAAGAACAGAAAAATACCAGATAATCTTGCAGAAATGTATCCAGCTCCTGGGTTTTTATGTGGGCTGACTAAACAGCATTGGCACTGAGTGGTATCAGTCCTGCCCAGTTTTGCTAACCTACTCCAACCCTCCCACTCTCCATCTCTACAAAACAGAAATGCATAATTAAGTAGTCTAAGATATAAACTAAAAGGGCTTATTAACCTTCCTGGCGGTATGATTTTTTCTTTTTTCGTTCTATGTGTTTTCGTTTTTTTTTTTTATTTTTGAATCTCCCGCCGGTTTCGGCCCCCTGCGGCGCGGATGCTCGCAAGGGACGGAACCCGGAAGACGGATATCTGCATCGGCCGGAGGACACAGTGAGGCTCCAGGGACAAGGTAAGAAACGCGCTGTGTATTCCCGAGTGTGGCTTGGGGTTACCGCTTATGGTACAGAAAATTAACCCGGAGCCACACTTGGGAATACCGCCAAGGAGGTTAAACTGCTTGAGAGATAACCCAGGACATGTACACAGGACAGCTCTGAATTTCTCACAAGATCAATAGGTATTTTTTTGCTTATCCTAATAAGTTCACTATAGGAACACAAAACAGCTACTTATTTACAATGCATTTTGTATATACATATACCATCAACTGTTTTTTTTTAAAAAAAGTCAAAGTTGGAAAGTTACCTGGTTGCCACATCCGATTAAAATTTGGATCATTTTGAAAATTATGGTTGTTGGGCACAGGTTCCATCTGTGGAACTGGAGGCGGTAGGTCCTGCCCATTGGGAATCATGCCCTGTGGCTCCACCACTCCTTGACCTGTAGCTTCGCGCTGAGCGATCCATGCTTGGGCCAATGCTGCCCAATCTATCTGACCTAATAAAAACATAAGAATGGGTGACAAAAATATTAGGCACATTGCTACATACTAGGCAAAACTTCAGGTACCACATTTAGCTATCCTTAGACATACTCACTTGGATCTTGTTGATGCTGAAATGATTCCATCCACTGCTGCTGATTCAGTGGCCATTGCTGCCAAGGTTGTCCACCTTGATCCCACATATCTGCCACACTTTATATTAACCACTCTACCTGTAACACAAAGATCCCAATGCTTAATCACATGCAGAATTCCATCACAAATCAGTGCTGATGATATGAAATATTAAAAAAATATATAATTGTATTGAGAGAGAGAGAGAGAGATTGCAGTGCACAGAGGTGAGATTGAGGAACAGATCCCGTCTACACAGAACTTCACTTCCATGCTGTGTAGAAGTGATTGGGATGGCTGCTACATGTTCAGAAGTAAGTACTATGGCGTGGTCCTGCTGAACCCAACTATTGATCAGTGGAAGGGGAGGTTCATGGACCAAAATTCAGGAGCAAGTAGGCCAAAGCTTCATTTACTGAGGTAAAGTGCGCTAGGTTTTGGGTCAAAGTGCAATGACAATAAGCACCTAGGGGTGCCTGCTTTTATAGATTGCTGGCAGTTTTAAACCTTCAGAGGGACTATGAGCAAAGTAAAAATGACATATGATGCTGGCGTGGTAATAGCATTAACAGCAGTAGATCATTATTTTTTTCCCCACATACATGAATACAAACCAAAATAAGTTAACCCAGAGAAAAAAAAAAATCTGCACTGCATTGCAGAATTTAATGCGAAGACCCACAGGTTACTTGTAAAAGAATGCTTGAGACACTATCACTAGGCGCTACATGGAAACTACGATCTAAGAATAAACGTTAGTTTCTAGTGGGTTGGGTCAGTGAAGCGTTAATTTAAAGCCACATTGTCAAATGGGGGTGACTACTGTCAGCTAAATAGTGACGGCACCCTGGAGATCTACATCCATCTTCAACATGCTACAGTCGACTCCCAGGCTGTTCTAAAGGGCAAAGCTCAGACACATCCCGAAGAATCTTGCTACTCCTTCTCACACATTGCTATGGGCACATTATAGATCATATTGGACAATTATGGTGGTCTGCCTCACTAGCCAATAAGAATACACAGGAGGCAGGGAGGGGGAAGGTAGGCGACAGCACTGCTGGAAAATAATCAAGCCGTTTCCATTAAAATTGCTCAGCACTTGGGTGGAACAGCAGAGACATGGTGGGAGCATTTGTAGAAATGTGTATTTGATCCATATAACGCAGCACCCCCCCCCAATGACTGAGCAACATTAACCATTTTACTGACAAGGACATGTCCTACATAGCATGAAAAGGGTTAAACCTTGTTAATATTTAGTACCTCTGGCTCCAGGCTTTCTAGTAGAAGTAATATGGGCAGCTGTATAGCTGCCTGATCACTGAGGGCTTGTTCACACCATGTCCAGACCAAAAAAGCATCCCAATGTATCCCTGGGCTCTGTTCACACCAGCGCAGTCTGTTCCGGTCCAGACAAAAAAAAAACTGCATGTCTCATTTTCTCTGGTCTGGAAAGCACTGGAACACGTGCAAATGCACTGGACTGCAAACGCACAAAATAGAGCAAGCAGCATTTTTTGCGTTTCCAGTGGAACGGAATGCAGGCAATGTTTTACCATTGACTTCAATGCACCGCCATGCCCCCTCCTGCCCCAGAACGCAGGGGGAAGTTTTGTGAGCAATTGCGGTGCATTCCAGCAGCTACCGCTCTGGAACACACTGCAATTGGTGTGAACAAGCACTAAAGTGTATCAACTATTGATACAGTTTTTTTCACAGACATACTCAGTTTTGAGATTTGACAGTTTCATCTTTTATTTATATATTTTTTAAAAGGGGATTATATTGTGTTGCTGCACACTAAAAATCACGTTATTGTACCTTTTTAGATCTGATACAGTTGCCCAACTATTGTTATAAACATAAAAAATGTGCACCTTGCGCATCCCCATATACCCAGGTCATCTGCTTTCAGAAAATATACAACGTTCTGGGGGTTTAGGTAGTTTCCAGGACAGAAAAAAAATGTATCATGTGCGAAAAATAAAATTGCTCTGGAAGCAAAAGGGTTAAGAGAATTTGCCAATGTCAATACTTTGGCCATGCAAGCCAACACCCCTTCACCTTAAAATTCAACACACATCACTGGATAGCTATAGTTTGGGTCTGAAAAGTTCACTTAGGCAGAAATAATAATTGGCCTTGTTCCAGCGAGTGGCAGGCTCCACCCCCTCTGAAAAGTGATCAACAGTTGATCCCTTTTCAGGCTGCACGGCATTCAGGTGGCGCTACTGCCACCTCCTCATTGTCTTTTTTCCAGTTGAGGCATTGTCTCCTTGAATGCATATAATGGGTTAGGCAACCTTGGCACGCCAGCTGTGGTAAAACTGCAAACCTCATCATGCCTCTGGGAGTCATCCCTGTGGCTGTCAAGAGTCTTGCGAAGCCTCATGGGACTGTTTTGACAACAGTTGGGGTGCCGAGGTTGCCTACTCCTGCGCCACAGTGTGCATACCACCAGCCTGAGTGGCCGCTATTTTAGCTTTCAAGTGGGCAGTCAGGGGCTGGTACAAACATGGAGCAACAGCTTGTTATTGATGCCCTGTCTGAATGAGTCCCAGGTATGATTATTGCACAAGCACTGTGCCAGTTAGATGATGTATCAATCTTATCATGTCTTCACTGCTCCTTCACAGGTAAACCGTTTAAACATCTTAACCCCTTCATGACTGAGGCCCTTTTTTCCATTTTTGTACCCATGTTATATTCCACATTTTAGGCCTGAAAATGACGTACAACCCCCCAACATTATATATTTTCTGAATGCCAAGACCCTATAGAATAAAATGGTGGTAGTTGAAAATGTTTATGTTGCGCAATATTAGCGCAACTCCTTATTAAACCCCAAAATTTAGTGACAAATTTAATTAAATGCCCCAAAACACAACAAATTACCCATTTTTTTAATGAAATATAAAAGATGAGGTTACAACGAGTAAAACGATACCCAACATGCCCAGTTTACAGATTGCGTGCGACCGTGAAACGGCGAAAAACTGCAGTACCCCAAAAAAATCAATAAAAGACACTTTAAAAGCCCCCACAGGTCATCAATTTAGAGATACCCCAAAATACTGCCCCTAGAATTATTGCTCTCACTCCGGCATGCGCGGCGATACCCAACATGTGTAGCGCGTTCGTCGTTTTCATGCGTAGGCGCACCCGACGCGTGTTTACATGGCGACGCGCGTGCTCGTGGGGGCGGGGGACTTTAAAAATTCTTTTTTTATTATTATTAGATTTATTTTATTTCATTTTAATTTTAAAAACTGTTTTTTTTTTTACTTTACTTTGACTGCTATCACATGGGGGGGCTTGCAAGCCCCCCCATGTAATAGCAGATGGTGGTGACAGGTCCTCTTTAAGGTGATGCTGGGGGTCCAAAAGACCCTCAGTGTCACCTTTACACTGGAAATAAGCTATTGAAGTGCAGATCGCACTTCAATAGCTTATAGCTGGGCTGCAGGAGCCCAGAACTGACAGCCCAGGGACCGGAAGTGATGCAATCTGCATCGCTCCCGGTCCCATAGAACGGGGAGGGGATCGATGAACGGAAGTTCGTCGACCTCCTCCCCAGCTCCCCGCGGACACAAAGATCGCCGGTCCCGGGCCCGTAGGAGGGGCAACGGAGCCCGGGAAGCACGGCGGGGGTGTCCGGCGGGGGGGGCGGCCCCTTCTTCGGGACGCAGAAGCGATCTGGCGACAGGTAAGTCGCCAGGATCGCTTCTGTTGTAAAGCCGACAGTTGGCTCTACAAGTTTAAACAGAGTCCCGGCGGCAAAAGTCGCAGGGAGTCTGTTTAAACAGCCCCGATGCTGGCGACGTACACTGTACGTCGTCAGTCACAAAGGGGTTAAGCATTCCCTGCTGCTGTGTATGATTGTAAACTGACATCCTACAAGCAGCTGTATTTTGGTAAACTGCTTTTAACCTGCAACTGGTAAACTTGTCTAGATCATAGAAATAGGTTTACTTTCCTGTTTTTCTTGGGTGACCAGACAGCTAACGTTTTCTTTATGGCTCCTGCCTGTCTCCGTTACCTGTGTTCGTGTACAAGTTTTTTTTTTTTTTTTATTCCTGTGGCCCTGGCCGGCCATACACTGTTTAAACTTTGGACCTGTCCTGCTAACTTGCCTGAAATTAGAGTCGTAGGTGGCCCTGTTGGCAACACTCCAAGACAAAAGTCAATTTTTTCCTTGACTTTTGTCGAGGAAGATGGGCCGAAACTTTTAACCAAACAGTAACCGCAGCCAATCAGCTTGCAGTACATAGTGAAGGTGTGTATTTGGAGGGTGACAATGCTGCGCCTGCTTTGGGAGCCACTTGGGTAGCGGCCACCTTTCCACAGAAAGTTACTGCAGAGGCTGAACCTGGCAGGATCAACAAGTTGAAAGCTGTAATATGAAGGAGGACCCAAACATTATATGAAATATAGCCAGGGTATGCTTAGGAAACCTGTTTTGTTTCCCTAAAATAATATTTAGATACACTGTTTGTGCTGAATGAAAATAAATCTTACATGCCTTACACTCACAATTTAACTCTCCCCTCAACACGTGTATAATAGAGCCAATGTGCGACAGCTGCATTGTGACACATCGGCTCTAAGGCCCCATTCACAACTAGGCGTATTGTAATATGCGCGTCTGTCGCGCGACCGTCGAAGGCTACTTGGCTGTATCCCAATGGAAAACGCCCTACAAAACGGCCCAAAGTAGTCCCAGGACCTTTTCAGGCGTGGGCCGTTTTGAAGGGCGTTAGGGACGGGCGGAAATACGGCAAGGTGGGAACGAGGGCATTGACTACAATGCAATTTATATTTTTGACCGTTTTGTAGAGCGTTCGTCGAGCGTAGAACGCCCTACAAAACGGTCAGGTGTGAACGAGGGCTAACTATGGGGATGAGTGTATTTCACTCTCCCCCATAAGCCCTGGTTCACACCTAGGAGTTTTGGAGCAGTTCGAAAAGTGCTTTTAACTGCCCAACACAAGAAATCCCATGATTTGCAATGGCCCTGGTTCATACCTGAGCAGAAAAACACCCAGCAGGAAAACATCAGACGCCTGAAAAGATACAGGAGCTTCTTTGGGCAGTTAAAAAAGCGCCTTTCCTCCCCATAGACTTCATTGGAAATGCCCAAAAACGCGCAACAGCATGTTGTACATTTTCATAAGCGTTTTTGCACGTTTTTCCATTGCTCACTTCGTTGTCTGAGCTGCCAAAAAGCACAAATAAACGCATGCTGCTAACGCGCATAAATGGTGCCACCTAGGTGTGAACCAGGGCTAAGTCTCCTTTAATATGTCTCCCTTTACAACCTGGAACTCTGGCACATGTGACCATGCACATCATCTCAGGGGGAAGAACATGCCTTTCTGTGAGATCTCGCGAGACTTTGCAGTGTTCAGATTAGATTCCCCAGCAATGCTCTGTTGATGTAACATTCCCAGGATGCATCTCTTAAAAGGAGAACTATGGGGTTAAAGGAGAACTATGAGATGAGTGATTTCCACTCATCTCATAGTTCTAGCCGACCTGTGACAATGAGACTGTCACAGGTCGGCTCAGTAGATCGGGAGGTGAGAGAACACATACCGGGTTCGCTACAGGCTACATCTCTAATGCCCAAGAGAACCAGAAGTGGAAAAACAATAGTTGTAAGTAAAAGAAAAATGTTTAAGTAATGAATGCGAGATGCTTTTATGTGAGCATGTAGAGCTGAATGCTGATGTGATTTTTAGTGAAAAGGTGGTAAAGGTCCGCTTTTATCACGTTCAACTGGACTTGTTCTGCAATGTTGAAGATATTTCCTACCTTCTCCAAGTTCAGAACTACAGAAGTATTTTAGAGAAGCTACAAAACATCTTCAACATTACAGAACAAGCCCAGTTAAATGTGACAATACTACGAATTATACCATGAGAACATTTACAGGCATCTTATTTATTTACCTCCACTTTCCTATCAATATGGCAGAATTTCTTTCTGAATTTGCTGCAACAATAGCATCATACAGTAAAATTGTGGCAAATAGGAACCGCTTGGATTCACGTCGTTACTAATAATGTAGGAAACAAGATGTCTCCAGCACTCTGGAGAATTGCGTCCAAACGTCTATTTGACGCATATATAGATTGGCCATTCTTGTGACAAAATGCGTAAACAGACGCTTGGTTTGGACACAATTCTCCAATGTGCTAATGGCATCTTGTTTCCTACATTGATCAAAGCGGTGCCATGCGCAGTCATTTCAGCACCCATCCTAAGGGGTTTACCAGTAAGGGAAACCTCCTGGACATGTGACTAATAACAATGTTGCAGGATTTTTATGAAGTTGGAACAAGGCTTCTGTCTGCTTACACCCCGCTAAAAATGTGAACGAGCCCTAAGACATTTGTGACAGTCTCCACACACTACAATACTGAGATTTAGCATGCAGACTGGTGTGCTGAGCACCCCGAGGTCGGTTGGGGTGAAGGTGATCTGTCATTTCAGCACATCACACAGTTTTTACACTCTTCAGGTCTTGGCACCGACCACGGAGGTAGTGTGCTAATAAAATGTTGCAGGTGTGCATTTTTTCCATGCTAACATTGGTGCGGATGGGTAACATACAGAACAAGGGGCAACTAGCTTTAATCAGTCGCTGAAAAACACCAGTGCCCCATTACACCAAGGCGTATCGTGAACATGCAATCAAATGTGCACACGTTCACAATACACACGCAAACTCGGAACGCACTTGCATTGCTATTACTAACGGCACCCCAAACACAGCTGAGAAAGCAAGTTTTTTCCCGTGAGAACGTGCAGGAAAAAAATAGGCGGAACATGTGGCCAAATCTGTGACATGTACTACTTTACCATGGTTGACACGCGTCCAGGGACCAATGGGGACACGCACCAAAGTCCATCAAACGTGCATGAACGCGCTTTATTGCAACGCATGTCCCTGATGCACTCTGGTGTGTGTAAATGGGCCTTAGTATGAACGAGTTCTTATTAAACCTCCCCCAATAATCCTGGCAGCCCACCTACATTCAAAACACAAGCAATGTAGGAAGCCTACATTGGCTGTGTCCCTGGGGCCCCCTAATAATGGAGATGTCTACAGCCATAGTTAAGTGAAATGTCCCCTCAGCTCAGGGCAGGCCTGGTAGACTGCGCACGTTTCGGTCCCTCATGAGCGCTCGGCCTCCCGCTCTTTCCCGCCCTCTCTCCTCAGCTGACCCCTGCAATGCCTCTAGTTGAGGTTCGGCAGATGTAGCAATGTGGCCAAGCACAAATCCCATGCACAATGACAGCCATTTCTCCCCCGCGGTGTCAGGGCCGCTACGGTAACAGCGTCCGCGCCTGCGTGCCAGGCCTAAGGAGAAGCACGGCCAGGGGGTGCGAGCAACTCTACAGGGAGGGGATACTTACATGCAAACCCCACCACACGACCCGATATTACACGTTCCACGACTGTAGAACACCTAAACAGGCCGCTGTGTGCTCTCTACACGCCTCAAAGCGACGCTCCTCCAGCGGTAACCGAATCTCCCTGCCAGACAATATGGCGCTGCAGCTTCGCCGAGCGGAAGTGATCAGCAGCGAGCGGCGAGGAAAGAGCGAGCGACACTGCCGAGATAGAGACACTGTGCTGCCATCTAGTGGTCATCAGGCTCAGTGCACTTAGTTGTACACTGAGGAACTTCTTTATTTCCAGCCATGTGATTGGACGGTATAACCATCCAGGTCATGGTGAGAAGCCATCACTCTAATTCAGTGGTTCTCAGCCTTTCTTGGTAACATTTGGCAAGTTGTGATGACTCCCAAAAGATAAAATATTGTTTTTTTTTATTATTATAATTATTTTTAATTTTTTAAATTTTTTAT